TCAAATAGGACAACATCGGAATCGGTTAATCATGTAAGTGTCTTCTTGTTGTTCTAAATTTAATATTTAATATATTTTTATTTTTAGTCTAATACTCTTCCAGTTGTTATTGAAGAAGAGCCAACCTTTGATTGGGATTCAATAACGTCATAAATACAATACAAATTCAATTGTGTATAGACGCGGACATAACATAAGAGCATACGTATTATTCTCTTTTTTTCTTTTGTTTCTTCTTTAAGATTAATTTTTTCCGTCCAAAAATAAAGCAAATGTAGAAATGCTCAAGAGTATAATGATTATATATTGCTTTTATTTGTATACGTTTGTTTAACTAATGCAATAGTTTTTCCCTATATTGTACAAAAGAAAACTAACAAAAAAAAAACAGTATGTTTTGTGTTTTATCATATTCATATTTCATTCCTAAGCTATGTTTGTGATTATGTTAACTTTTCTTTTTTTCTGTGTACAGTGATCAGCCGGTGTGCACTTATTATAATCATTTATCGTATTATACTAAAAAAAAACAACAAAATGTCTGTCTACAGCACCATACACATGTAGATTGTTTTGATCAAAATAAAAAAAAAATTCGAGATTGTTTTTATTTAATAAATCGAATGGCACACAAAAAATATACTCTGCTGCGAATTGATGTTTTTTTTTTCATTGATAAATGATATTATCAGTCAAATATGCTTCGATATACCATAGACAATCTTATTAATTTACATACACGAAAAATCAAGCTCAAAAATGTGCGTATCTGACATATGCGCTAGAAATAGGATCGGTTCGGTCTAAACTTTAACACATTCGGCACGATTCGATTTTATTATAGAGTAGTTGTACGGATTCTTTTTTCATGTGCATTCGTCTTTCGACAAATGCACTCCTTGGCCTTTTCATTCTGTGCTGACCTGTCGTTTTCTCTTTTCTGTTTATAACATCACATGGAGTGAAGTGACTATTCTGTAGTTTCGAAAAAGTCTTGTGAGATCTTTACTGCATGGCATACCATTCGAGAAGCTGAAATCTGATCAGAGATAAAAATCAGCAACTCATTTGAACCGCAAATTTGCTGACTGCAAGCTCGAAAAAAAGGAAAGATCTACACGCAATCTCGGCAGACGCTGTACTGACTGCTATGCAAAGGGAAGGACACAACAGTCAAGAGAAGTGAGCTATGCGGCAGCAAAAAAAGTAAAAAGTCTTCTGTTCTGATATTGATAAATTTTTTTTTGTTTTGATTGTTTTAACAAGAAACATCATAGTATGGAAGAAAGGACACAAAAAAAGTACTGAAGGCAGAACAGATGACACACTATGTTTAACCTCCTGCCTAAGAAAAAAGCAAAAGAAAATACTTTTCTATACAGTTTCTCGTTGAAATGTAGCGTGGTCCACCGGTAGGCCACATCGTGCCGAATGTGTTAACAAGAAGCTGTTAGCGAAATTCCTATGGTATTAAAATATGCAATACGATGTCGTTACTGCTGCTAACCGAAGAAAGATTATGTTATTCTATGTTTCTCAAGGCATAATTCTTCACCATTCTTTTAATTAATTCTCTAGAAATGGAATAAAGAAGTGGTTGATATATTATAACGAAATTTTATTAATATACAGTCTTTGATTGTATATCAACATCTGTCATGGCCTGTGGATGGAGGCACAAACCGATTTCATCTGTAATATGTAAGAATGTCAATTTTAACTATTCTTTTTTCTTTCAATGCTTTTTTTCATTCGAAAAAGTATATAGTATGTTTAATTTTCTTGATTTAATCATATACATATAACTCGTTATTTTTTTTTCTTAATGAATGAATGATTATACATCTGTAGGTGTGGCATAGGAACTGCTCTTCCATATTTTTGATTAACAATACAAAATTAGGACATAAAACATCTATTTAAAGAAATAGTAATCAACACAAAAAGCAAAAAATTTATCCATAAAAAGATTTTAATTATTACTTGTCTTCTAAAAAAAAAACCAAAAAAATTTTGTCATTAATCAGCATGTAATAATAAAAGAAGAAAAAAAAACATTCAAATGAGATTATTGTCAGGCCTTATTAAATAAAGGATTCACTTGGTGTCTTTCAGCTTGTAAAATTTTAAATTGTAGTTACATACATGAATGCTTTTTCCCTTACAATAATATATGTTTACTGTTTTTGATACTTCAATTTCCTCTCGATGTATTCAGTTACTTCTTCATATGGTTCATTAATATCTGTAAATGAACTTTCATTAAAAATGAGTTCTTTCAGTAAAACAATATTGCTTTTCACTTGTGTGACCTGTAAGTGCAATAAATTGCTCAATCATGATCGAACCAATTTTTATTCCTATGTTTTTAAATAAATTAGCAGTTTGAAAAAGCAGAAATATTTTCAAAACGTTGAGGTGAAAAAAAAAAATGTCGGTTTGAGTCCGGACATAAGATGGTACCCGGGACCCGAATCGATTTTGTTTTTCCATGCCCGGTATCCAAACTGACCCGGCTAGTTTGTATCTGGATCCATGTAGATAAATAATTATCAAAATCTGTTTGCTTCTTGTAACGGATTGTTTCATAGAAATACATAAGTGATATTTTGGTATAAAAAAAATAACACTAGAATCTTATTTCTAACAAATAATGAGAATAATAAAATGTTTTCTTAGACCTGAACATCTATATTAATCATATTTTCTTTTTTTTTCAAGATAATAAATTATTAACCATAATAATAAGCTCAATAGGATTATAAATAAAATAAATTGTTAAGAATATTATATTCAGCTAAATGGAAGAAAATAATAAACTGTAAAATATAAAATACATATCTATGTATTTGAAAAGTAAAAAAAGCATCTTATATATTTTATATCATTTATTAATTAGAATTTCAGAGTAAAAGGATTCCTTGATGATGACATGAAATTTTTTTTCTGGTTTATAGTAAAAGCTATTTCAAAAATTGAAGACGACCACAAACAATGAGAGAAACACTAGTTATTTAATGTGATGAGTATTCTTCATATTGTTAAGTAGTTGAACATAGACTTTTAAAAAGCAACCTTTGCCAGCTCGTCGTGATGCGCTTTGACCATAAATTATATCAATCTAATTAGAAAACATGTATATAAAGATTAGAAAAACAAAATAAAACAAACTTCTATTTTTTCTCTACCTGTTCGATTGACATATAAGAACAGCTATTAGCACATTCGCATACTGGACCACAATCCTCTGATGATTTCTTGTAATAGACAAAAAAAGAAAAACTTAAAATTATATTGTAATATAAAAACAAAAAGAAATTTACAATAGCTGCTGGATAATCTTCAATACATGTGTTACAAGCTTCAAGACAAGCAAAATCTTCAGGCAATTTAAGAGATGAATCGGCCGACATTGATTCGATCGATGTTTTTGTATGTGATAATGGATATTGCTGCTTTTCATCATCGATACTATGACTTTCACTTCTTTTCATATTAATAAAGTTTTTCATAGCATTTTGAAATATACGTTGTTTTTCATTAATTGGAGAAATTTGATTTAAATGATGATGATTATGAGATGTAATATCATCAATGTTAAAAGCTGCACTCAAACCGATAAGTATCAAAAGTGAGACGAAGAAAAAATTATTCATAGTTTTTTTTCTTAATAATTCTATTCTAAAATTAAAGTAAGAAATGTTAATCAAAAATTTATACGTTTTATTCTTATTGACTTTTCTAATACATTTATTCGTTTATATTTATATTAACCAAAAATATCTCTAGTTAAAACTAACAAGTGAAAAGAACATATAGACAACTATTTTTCTATTTGCTTAGTAGTACAAATGATAATTATTCTAGTAGTTCGTATCAAACTAATTATTTAAAATAAACAACAAAAAAAAACTTCTTTTAATCTAGAACATTGTTTATATGTTTCTATTCACTTTTAAATACATGCAAATTTTATAAGAAAAAAAAAGGAACTCGCCTGTAATGTCAACATCTTTATATATGTCCTATTATTAAATGTCTAATCATTGTTTGAGCAAAACATCAGAAGTATGATAAACTAGTATTAATTGTTTTTCTTTCGGTCGGAAAAGTTGCATGATGATAAATTCTTGAATTCAACTTAAGATTAACTTACTAGAATTTTTCTCTATATAGGTGACTAAATAATGATGATAATAAAGTTGAAATGAGCTTATTGAAAAAGACAAATATGTCGTATTTCTTTTCTTTTTCTCTATTAATGAGCATAGATTAAAAAAAAAACGATAGACACTTGTTCATTCAAAGAAATAGAGAAAAAAGAAAATAGAATAGAGAGAAAAAAACAACAATGGATATATAAGTTTTCGGTAGTCAAATATAAAAGCTTTCATAGATACAAAAATATTCGTTCATTTTTAAACCAATTAAAATTAAATATTTATTTTTATATCGATTAAGATAAGCTAAATGTACATGTTACATACATACAAAATTGTATGTTGACTTGTGTGACTTTTATATAAAAATGATAGATATATGAAAGACAAACTTTAATTCGAGATTGTGTGAAAGTGTTATCTTAGGTTGAAGTACAAACATATGTTCAATGTTCTTATACGAATGAAATTTTATAATTTATCTAATACAAAAATAAACAAATCATTATTAAATTACAGATCATTATGAAATTATATTAAACATTTTGAAATTTTCAATCTCATTCAAATACAATGAAAATTATATCTTGAGAAAGAAGTGTAAAGTCTTAACAAGCAGTATTAATTACTGCAGAGAAGTATGGTCAAGCATTTTTAGAAACAGACTTCTCATTTTTCCATCATTCTCTGAACAATCTATCTTTGTTTTTTGTTTCATCTGATTTATTCTAACTCATGAGAATCTTTCAAATCTGAAATATTCTTATGAATTACAATAAAGAAGATGACAGAATAAAAATGAAAAACAAAAGAATTTATTACCTTAATCAAGTATACTCAAGTTAATCTGACAGCATTTTATTAATATATTTCGCACGAGATGAAACTGATAGTTTTCATTTGGGATATTTTATCTTTTTCTTTTTACTGACTTTATTCATGTCATGTTGATGTCACAAGAGGTATGCATATTCTTGTCTCACATTCACTTTTTTGTGTGGCAGAAGCTCAATGCCATCTTATTGCAATGAAAAAAAAAATATATATATAGATTATTTCAACCTTTGATATCTCACAAAAATTATACTAAATAAGTTTGAGACATATATTCAATATTTTTTGTTTTTTACTAATTTCTCAAAACAATAATAAAAATAATTATTTTCCATAATACATTTCATTATATATGATTATATTTAATAATTAAAAAAAATCTAAATAGATGAGTTCTATTATTTCTATTCATCAATATGAAATTCTTTATTATTTATTTATGATGTTTTTTTATTGTAAAAAAAAATGCATAATCTATATATTATGTCAATGGATCAATTAACAGTTCTATTTTGAAATCTAGAGCAACTTTATTTGATATATTCTTGTATGAATTTATAATAAGAACATTTTTACATATTAGTGTGATCTATCCTTGATCACTCACACATATAGATGATTCGAAATTAAAAGTAAACCATTAAAAAAAAAAGAACGTTCGATAGTATTTGACATGAAAGTATTTCTATTCTTGAACGCTTTAGACACACGAAATCTTTCACAGAATGAGCAGCTTGAAAATTTATGTAAAAGATGGTAGTGAAATTTATCACCAAACAAGGATTGATAAGTAGAAAAAAAAATTCTTCAATTATTAATCACTCGAATACAAAGCAAGATAATGTCTTCAAAAACCATCTCTGTTTTTGATAAAAAGATCTGACCAAAAATCAACAATTTTTCCGTATTCGGAAAATATTGTAAAATGGAAGTACTTCAATAGTATACAACTACTTTGACATCGGTTGATTAAAATCTCATTCCTTTTGTGAGTAAAAATCTTTAGAAAAATCAAAAAAATATGTATGATATTTTTTAAAAATTCAGATTTGTTTAATCATTCTTTGGTAACGGTCAAGTTAAGATAACACTCGTAGGAAAACTAGAGTTCGACTGTTTTGGTTCGGTTTCTGAAATATGATATGAAATGAAAACGACGGATAGTAGAAAATGAATTATCCATAGACAATATGATTCATTATTGCGTTCTGTTGTTCATGTGCATTCTTTTTTTCTTCCTGTGAAGCAAACCAAAAAAAAAAAACCATGAACCAAATTCCACTATTGTCAACACGAGGTTGAACGCATTGCATTGATTTATAATATTCCTAAGGTGCAGAAAAATTGTCGATTTTTGATCGAGTCCTTTCGTTATAAAGCTTGCTTATAGTGTATGTTGCTAATTTTCGCAAGAAAAATGGCATCTCCAAATAGAAATCTGTCAAACATATCGATTTTGAGCGTAGTTTGATTTAATATTTGCATCTATTTTCTAGAAATAATTCATTGCAGAATTTCATTTGAATCAAAATTTTGCAGTATTTTTAGATCGTTAAGAATTTTGTACTGTTTTTGTTTATAACTATTTATATATTTGGCATTGACATCGAATTCTGAACAAAAGAGAGTATTTAATTGACCAAAACGTCGCTTTTCATTTTTCTTGGACTGAAAATTTTTTTTACGTTGGATTTTAATGAAAAATACGTCATTTGATACACAATGTAATGCTGGTGACGAATATCGAACTCTTTGCTTTCATTCTAATTCAAACTACGATTTTCGGAAAAAAGGATGAAATTTCGTAACGTTTGGCTACGCCAATCTTTAATAATTAAACCTTACTAAAAACATAAGTGAAAATTGATATGGTGGATTATCGGAAAGTTGTAATAAAATGTTTTATTCACTTTTGACCCGCTAGAAAGTATTTCTGACAAATTAAAATGTCTGAGTTTCGAAATTTTGTCTCAGTTTTTGTTCGAGGACAGTGAAACAATCGTTGAAAAGTCCCAAAATGGTGTGGGTGTGAAGAGAAGACTAATATTCACATGCGCACCTCACACGGACACACACACACACATGCACATAAAGCAACGTATTATCTTGTCGTTGATTTTGTTCTTGAATAGTGTTCGTACACTATTATCTCTTGTTAGTGTATTTATAAATCTCTCACTCTTTTTTTATATACAATAAAATATCTTTATCTCATCGATCGAGAATTTCTAAATAAAATTTTTTCGACCAAATTAATTCTTTTCAATTTTTCAGGTTTTTAAAAAATCTCTCAATGAACAACTCTGCTTTCATTTCAATACAATGAGTGTTCTTGTATAAAATAGCACTACACTAATCTGTTGTATTTTGTGCATTGAAAGTAAAAAAAAGATGATTTTTACAAAACGAATGAGATTATTTAAGAAACAATGGAAATGATTACAATGCAGCAATATAAAAAAAAATGTATGTTTGTGTATAAGCGCACGCGTGGAAATAAATAAAAACGATAGATTCTCTTTTGTGTACGTACAAAAAAGAGATTTTATGAGCGAACAAAAACAAACAATAAGAAAAAAACAGAAATGTTCAAGGGAGAGAAGAGATATTCTTTGAATCTGCACAAAAATCTGGTAAAAAGAGAAGATAAAAAAAAGAAAAACTTGAAGTTTTCTTCATACAAACCATATAAAAATAAAAGTGAAAAAAGGTCACTTTAAAGACAGTTGTCCCAAATATGTTTGTCGACAAGCAATTAGTTCAAATGAAACTCATAGTCGTAATAAAAAAAAAAATATCTATAAAATGATCCAAATTTTCTCTCTTCACATACTCTCAAAATTACAATCTGTTTTGTTTTTCTTATTCAGGAACAACACAACATACAATTCTTATTCGTCCAGTGCTACCTGGCAGTGGTCCGTGTTGTGAAATGCCCATTTGAGGAAAGCTACCTGCTTGAGGAAAACCACTGTATTGCGGAAAGGCACCAAAAGATTGGGATGGAGGAAAAGTTCCAAATGGTTGTTGTGAATAAATACTACCGAGTTGTGGTTGAAGTTGAGGATAGCCACCGAATCCTCCAAAACCTTGTTGACCGTAACTTGCAAGTCCGGATTGACCAAACCCACTAAAACCTCCGAACGGATTATTACTAATACCTTTATAAAAGAGAGCAAAGAAAAAAAACCGTCAATCTTCAAAAGAATAAAGTGATTCAATTTTAATTACTTGATAATCCACCATATCCACTTAGTCCTGTTAATTGTGGCGATGATTGACCGAAACCTGAATGAGTTTAAATTGAATACAATTATATTTGTATTTATAGAAGATTCTAATGAAAAAAAAAAATATATACCTCCTCCATATGATTGCAATCCTCCAAAAGCACCCATCATAGATGGTGGACAAATTGATTGTTGTGGCATCATGGGCATTTGAGGTGGACCTGGTAGTTGTTGAGGAACTATTTGAGGCATTTGTTGAGGAATTATTTGAGGCATTTGTGGAGGAAATGCTATAAACAATCGAAAGATACGACGAGAATTTTGCTACCTCTATTTTCAGCTAGAATCGGTGGTTTCAAAATGAACACTAATTATGTATAATGAGAAAGAACAGCGGAAAATCATACACATTGATATCTACTGAAGCATGATTGATATAAGTGATGCAAAAGACATCTGAGATATAAATTGGGAGCATGCTAGAGAAGAATTAAAGCACCTTGATAACAGGTTAGATATTAAAGTAAACGGTATTATTAATATTATTGAGTTATACTTATTAGTCAGTTCAAAATATGAAGGATTTCATGCTAAGTTTTAACAAAAAAAATCTTACGCATTGATGGTAAACCAATTGGCATTTGAGGCATCATTGATTGGATCATTGGGGGAGGACCGGGCATGGAAGAATGCATTTGTGGAGCTATCGATGGTAATTGCATTGACATTGAACAACAGTTCGAACCCATTTGAGGTAATGACATTTGTGGCATTGATGGTGGTGAAGCGATTGGTATGTGAGGCATCATCGGTTGGACCATTGCGGCAGGACCGTGCATAGGGGGCTGTATTTGAGAAGCTATCGATGGTAACTGCATTGACATTGAACAACAGTTTGAACCCATTTGAGGTAATGACATTTGTGGCATTGATAGTGGTGGAGCGATTGGCATTTGTGGCATCATTGATGGCGGAGCGATTGACATTTGAGACATCATTGATGATGGTGCATAGGGCATCTGTGGCAGCATTGGTGGCATCATTGGTGGTGGAGCAATTGGCATTTGTGGCATCATTGGTGGCGGAGCAATTGGCATCTGTGGCATCATTGATGGTGCAGCGATTGACATTTGTGGCATCACTGATGGTGCAAAAGGCATTTGTGGCATCATTGATGGTGCAGCGATTGACATTTGTGGCATCATTGATGGTGCAGCGATTTGCATTTGTGGCATCATCGGTGGTGGAACAAGTGGCATTTGAGGCATCATTGATGATGCAAAAGGCATTTGAGACATCATCGGTGGTGGAGCAATTGGCATCTGTGGCAGCATTAGTGGTGAAGCGTTTGGCATTTGAGGCATCATTGATGGTGCAAAAGGCATTTGTGGCATCATTGATGGTGC